AATAATTATTATTATTATTATTAATTTCCTGGGTCTGATTTCAGTTCTTAATTGGCCAACAGGTTTATTTCAGTTATACCCTTAACGGTTTGCGTTTAGTTGTTAACCTTCGCTTACATACCGGGCGACCGAAATCCGCTCGGCGTTTATTTAGGCAAGATTCTATTACATAGATAAACTCAAAAGCAAACGCTTATCTAAATACAAAATTGGAGCGAAATCCTTAAAGTCGTTTTCCAGTAAACAATATGTCATTATCAAAAATGCCTCAAACCGGTTTTGACTGTTATTCTTTAAAGGGCGGGTGACGAAGCATGCAAATAAAGTTTTATTATTTGACAATACTTTAAGAGGAAACTAGCTATTGACGGATTAAGAATTCCGAGGGTCATCATCATCACCAATCATCAACAGCCCATACTAGTCCACTGCTGGACATAGGCAAGTAATAATAATAATAATAATTAAAATAGTTGAATAATGCAATAATTGTCATAATAATTGTCATAATTCCAATGCCTTGAAAATGGTTAGGTTTGGGAGATGGTATTTCATAGTGAAATCTATCAGAAATTATAGCAACTAGAACCTCTTAAAGTATCCAGGTCGACTTACCCGGTAACCCTGTATATGTATATGCCTTTTGCTTTGGCAGGTAATATCTGAAGGAATATTACAGAGTAACTTCTGTATTAATTCAGAGGGTAACAACCATTATTCATCTCGTGGGTGTCGCAAGAGCCGATTAAGGGAGTAAACTATGCAGGACAACAGTACTGCAAAGAGAAGAAAAACTTGAAACAAACCTTCCACCAACCCGTTTGGCCAGCGTGGTATAGTAGGCCAAAACTTCCTTTCTAATAAGGGGCCTACGAGCAGTCTACTAGTAAAGGCATTTGATGATGATGATTTTTTTTTTCTTACTTTGAAAATGATGAACTTCCGCACAACCGTTTTCCTTTATTTTATCCCTTTACTCCAAAAAACTCCAAAACACGTAATTTGTAACGCAAGTACATTAACAACGATAGCGATAATTTTAACGATGCTACACATTTTAATATACCTAACTAGAACCAGAAGATATTGGATCAAATAAGATTCTTATCGAACGATATACCTTCTCACTAATATATTATTCATTGAACATGATTTATCGCTGACATTTCGCAAAAATACATCAAAGATATCTTTTTTATTTTCTTAGGATCGTGTCCAACTGCTTAATAATAAAATATTCTAAGAGCTAATGTTTACCTTATAAAAAGCGGTAACTAGAAGCACGTGATTTTATTAGTTTTGTGGTATGTTTGTGTTCACCAAATTTTTATTCAAACTTTAAAGAGCAGTTGACAGCATTTGTCATCGTACGTCCTTTGTGAAACCCATCTCAGCAAGTTGAACTATTTACATATTCTATGATTTTGAAAAATAGGTAATATGGTCGAAATAAAGTACTGTGAATGAAGAACAAAATTAAAAGTAACGAACTCCAAATTGGTAAGAACTTTTGAGGGAGTGAAACGAAGACAAAGAACAAAGGAAAATCAAAGGAAATGGTATTTGATAACGAATTACCTTCGCTATATACTATCACTGCTATACAACTTGAATTATTTCAAGACTACTTAACGTTTGTAACACAATTATGTGTATTGGCAATATCATTAAAGTCAAGAAGTTTTTTTAAGGGAATATGGCAATTCTAACAGAAATCTTGGAGATATTGTTGATAGAGCAACATTTTTTTGTCTTCGGTCGGGAATGATTAAAGCTAATGGTTTGCAAATAATCGAAAGAACACAGAGGACAAATCTGAAACAAACTTCCTCTTTGATCTTTTACTATTCGATAAGTCATTTGTATAAAGAATGAGAAATTCTAACGTGTGACAACTTTTTCTATTGTCCTCAAGTCTTAAATCCTCAAGGGATTGTACCATATTAAATCAACGAGCCGACAATTCCTTGTCAATTGAGTTGTTTTGACGTTACCAGATAAAATAGTTATAAAACAAGTTTGTCTCAACACTTTTTCTCCCACCAAAGTACACATTTCATTACACACTAAGAAGGGAATAATGTTTACAGGGTTACTGGGTAAGTCGAGCTAGATACTTTAAGATGTTGTCATTGCCTTAATTTCTGATAGATTTCACATATGTGAAACCTACCGTATCCATTGTCAAGGTATTGGACTTTTCAGAGTTATAAAATATAGTACATTTTTTTTATAACTTATATACTTTATTTTACCCTTTTTTACTGTTTTGTATAGTTGATAAATTGTTTTATATCTAAAAATTGCACTTCTGAAGTGATTAACAGCACCCGTTCTTGAGTCGTATTTGAACTCGACGAATAGATAAAATTGATGTATCGACGTAAACGGTTAGTGTGAAATTGAGTGTTCATCAAAGTAATAAAACTGTTATCCTGGAGAATAACCGGTAAAAATATTTATTACTGGTCCTCTAGACTTCCATTACCCTAAATGTTTAATGGCACTCTAAACTTTTGATTTAGTTACTTCATTTAGTAGAAAAGGGATAACGAGGATAACTATATTATCCCTCACCTTTCTTTTTCGTACATGTATCAATTCGTTGGGATTCAAATGCTTACAAGAACTAATACGTAATTAAAGAACTTGTAAAAGAATTCTTGTAATAGCAAGTTGAACATAACAGCGAGTAGACTAGATTGTCCATATATGATTCATTGCATCGGGATTTCAGTCGCGCCTGTTACTGCGAGGCAATGAGTCTAATCTTAAATTATAAAACCTACTATATATAGCTGTGAGTTCCAATTGTTACTAACATCTTTGAGTCTTATTTACTCCAATAAATAATTTATTATTATTATAATAACTTACTACGAAAACACGTAATGAGATTTTCGATCGATACACTTGGAACCAAAATATATAAGTTAAAGATTTGATCATTAAAACATGGGTGGTCTCCTCTAATCCTGAATAGTATGCGTCGCCGGTCGAATACACTACGCATTTCGTATAACTGGATCAAAATGTTGAATTATACTCGCTAATGAGAATCGTGATATCTTTTTTAGTATATATTTCTTGCGTAATTTGTGTCACAACAGTCATAAATATTTGCTAGAACCATCATAATAACAAACATATCGAATCACTTGTGAAATTTCGGCATTCTATTTATTTGTTACTCTTACTTAGTTTAGAGGTTTTTAATCATTAAATCTATAAACGCTGTTTTCATGCTTTGTTTGTTTTTGCTCCGCACTTAAATAAGTAATTTAAAATATTATACGATCTTATTTAGCTATCTACTGTTTTATACGTTTCGTTATGAGAAACACTTTCTTTGGCGATTCTCAAAGTTAGCACTCGCGTTAGTTCTTTCCACGATATAGCAGCACATCATTGTTGGTTTCGGTAAGAAAACTTATCTTAGTATTGTTATTGTTAATTGACCAGCTTTAATATTACTAAAGTAAAATCTCTTATTGCCAAGGTCTCAGTTGCACCCTGTGTTGGGATGTATGTTGCAAGTGCTCGCGTTATTCCCAATATATAAAAATACGTGAATCACTAAAGGTTTGTCTATAACATTTGAAGAATTTTTTCAAAATCTTTATTATCCCATTTTCAGATCCCGACCTGATTAAAAAACAAAAAATAACTTAATTAATTAGATTAGATTAACCGATGGACAGAACAATGGACATGCATGCAAAAAGTCACACTAATAAAGATAAAACCGTTTATAAATTCCTTTTTTTTTCCGTTTTCCTTTTAAGGTACGGAACCCTAAAAGTAGCATTATCGTTCAACGTCGCAATGCTCATTATTTTTATTGTCTAGAGAGTTTTCGTACAACCTTTAACAAAACAAGAATTATTTTTAATGTTCAGAGAGTTTTGTTGCAATCTCTCTGATTCGTTTCAAGAATATATTGTTAGAGTTCATGTAAATATTTGATGAACAGATATTGTTATAAACACAAAAGAAGCAGCAGCAGCCTTTGTTTGAGTTTGAATTTTCATCATTAGAGATTTACTTTTATGTTTTTAATAATTATATTCTTAAAAACTAACTCCAAAGTATAGAGAGTCTTAGCGAGTATAAAGAGAGTTTGAGCAAATTATAAACTTTTACTCAGATGTATTGTATTAGCGTGAAGACTATGAATAGAGTGATGACTTGTAGGTAATTTTTTTATACAAATAAAAGTAGCAATCGGCAACGACGCCGACGTTCTATTCATGACTTTTATTTTTCTCGATAAAAGCATAAATAATAAGGTGCCTTGTCAACTCTCTCTGATCTTCCTAACTATGCCTGTAATGATATAAAGAAACCAAAAATAAAAGGAACAACATAAAGGAAGTTGCTGTGAACCAAAACATTTGGAGGACATGCTTCTATACATTTCTCTTTTTTTTTTGTTACAGGTACATTACTCAGGTACTCAACGCTCTGGTGAACATGTGTTCACTTTGCATTTGAAAATGCCCAACGCCAGCAAATCGTGGACAGAAAATGGTTTTCATGTCAACTTTACACTTCAAACACCTCAATCATTATCAAACTGTTCCAACATTGGCTATTACAATTACACACATTCCGAAGACAATTGCTCGGAACCAAACTTTGTGTGTGTGTTACATGCTTCCGACGAGGGTATTATGTCGTATGTTTTTGAAGTATGTGTATTCATAATGTATATTGCGGTGTTTGTAGTGGCTTTGGTAGGAAATGGTTTAGTGTGTTTTGTGGTCCATACGACGCCACGTATGAAGACAGTGACAAACTATTTTATAATGAACTTAGCTGTTGGTGATATCCTGATGACTTTATTTTGTGTACCGTTTTCTTTCGTGTCACAGTTAATACTGCGCTATTGGCCGTTTGGTGCGTTAATGTGCAAAGCGGTGAACTATTCCCAGGCTGTATCAGTCCTGGTTAGTGCGTATACGTTACTCGCGATATCGATAGATAGATACATAGTTATAATGCATCCATTAAAGCCTCGGCTTAGTAAAACTGTTGCTAAACTAGTAGTGATTGTCGTGTGGATAGGAGCATTCATTACAGCGGCTCCTATACCCATAGTGTCAGAGTTGCAGAGACCTTCACCTTATCATCAAGTGTGTGAAGTGTAAGTATACTATTATTTATTTCATATATAGAAAACTCAGTTGGGTATTTTTCAATTTTTAGGTTGCATCGTAGTCTGTTTCTCATATACTGTTTTTGAAGTGATAACTTCTTATAGGAGGGTAAACCGTTTCGTTACGTAACGCGTTACGCCGCCAGTCTATCTGGATTCCTTTCTCTTACGCATGTGCAGCGGCACCGGTAGGCAGACTCCTCCTCTCTCACTCTAACCCACAGCACAAGCCGTATTTCGGACAGACGCTTTATATAAAATTTAAGTAATGACATAAGCTTCTCTCAAGTTAAACAATTCAATATTAAATAGTACAACTTAGATAAGTTATCACTTCTGTCGGGCGTCCCGAGACGCACACGTTTTATCTAGAGTACTATGAAATTTTAAAGTATATATGTATTTACACATACGTATATTGTAAATAGGCAATAACTAATATTTTATTGCAAAGCTATCCCCATAAAACTTCAACAAGAGGCAAAGGCAACCTTTAAAGTTTAAACGTTCTGAGGGTATTTAATTAATGATTTATGTGTACTTTTTATAAAAGTAAAAAGTTGTTTTAATAAAAATATATAAGTTTTAAAACAACAAATTTAAAACTATTTAACTTTTGAGCTAGCAGTAAACTCAAGCGAGCTCTTTAAACATTTTGCATCTTATATAATGAGCACACAAAAACTGTGATTTACCAAAAAAAAACTTTAATTGCTAGTTCTTAACTTTGTGTATTTTTCTTGTTAAAATGTTAACAAGATATTATTTGAAACGAAAAGACTATTTTTGTGAGTTTTCTTCATAAATTAAGGTAAGAATGTGTCTTTGAAATGGCGTGGCATTAGGTGTCAAATTATTTTATTTGATTCCAAGTATCGATATACGCAATTAGAAATTTCACAGACCTTGTATTTTTGTTTTGATCTCTTAAAATATATACCGATTAAATTCAAAGTATATTGCCAAAATACATTTTGGTGACGCATTTATTAGTATTAAATATTCAGGTACATACTTTATTACATTAAAGAAAATTAGTTAAAGATTACTAGACTAGGCATTAAATACAGGAACAACGAAACTAGAAAAATAAAATTAAATATACGACTTGATTCATTGAACCTTTATATTTCTTAGCATTCCAAGGATTCATCGTGCGGGTGCCGGGTCCGTCGCGAAATAGATGGGGGCAACATATGCGTGTTGCCCCCATCTATTCCACTGGGTGGGACTTCGCCACGACTGGGAGTTTCGACCCAGGAATAGGTTTAGGTAGTACTCCTTGCGACGCGTCAGCGCTCACCTCGACAGTGTGCTGTGTTACCCCCTCTAATATTCGTTCTAGAAAATAGCTTACTGAAGCTTTTGCAATCCAAGGACTTTAAGCAGGTTATAGACGGATTTAGCTGGTATACCCCTCGCACTCACTTCCACGGCATACAACGCAACAAAATACCCATTTTTAGTTACGAGTATTTCGTTGGTTAAATCAAAGTACTTGTTTCTTTTTGAAGCGTGGTCTTTAGGGATGTTCGTTTCTCACGGCACCGTGAGTTCTATTAGTACTACACGCTGAATTGACAATGCATACAGAAATATGTCTGGTCTGGACGCCGAGGCATACATAATATCCTCCGCTATTCTGTAATGATTTTCATACGTGGTACTAATAATGTCCAGTCACTAGCGGTATTTATAATTAAGTACGGCTTTTGTGAAGCCTTCCTTTACAAACTCGATGTTAGTTCTTATGTTTGTTGATATTCCTTTTTTTTGCTCTCGCCAGTGATATGATTTATAACGTTTATGATTAGTAATACCTTATCATGACGACGTGAATAATGACTCTTGTCTAATAGCGTCTAATAAATTACACGTAACACGTAAAATACATAGAATTGAGATAAAACTTAAGGAAACATTTTTAATTACGAAAGTCACGACAAGTCTACAGAAAGGTAAAAAAATATATTTCCAATTATGGTAAAATATCGCAGTATATGTTCCCTTATTAAAACTTAGAAAAGCTTTAGGATAGCTAAACGTATTTCTTTTCCAACTCATTGGGCTATTTTTAAATTTTGAAGCCTGTATTTAAAATTTTGTAAACCGTCGCTGTACGAAGTTTTAATACCGCCATGGATACCGTAATGGATGAATTGTTTATCAGAGTAAGCGTTGTAATTATCTTCTTTTTTAAAGAGACGTGTGCGGAGAACATTGGTCAACTCCGGATCGGAGTAGGCAGTACACCATAGCGTTGCTCGTTCTTCAGTTCGCCCTTCCACTGAGCGCGCTGGTATGCACTTACGCTCGTATTGCATGCGTCGTTTGGGATGTTAGACCGCCCGGAGAAGCTGATGAGGATCGGGATTCCAGAATGGAACATTCAAAACGAAAGGTAATAATATATTAAATATATCATTTTATTTCTTTTTCTCTAATTTAAGGCACTTTTTATAAAGTAGTACTACTAGTTGTGAAAGCGCTGTTTTTGTTTTGCTGTCGAGTGTGATAATCAGTGACTATTAGAGGGGGAGGTTGTAAAGTTATTAGTGGGCAAGTGGTAAGACTGAAGTGGTACCACTGATGTTGTTGGTTGGTAGCTCATCACAAAGCATAAGTTTACGTTGTTCCTTTATTATTATCTTAGCTTCTTAGATCACCACGCCAAAGAGTAAAGTAAAGGAACAGTAATATAATATATGTTTCTGTTACACAGAGACACTGTGCTGTGTGTGATTGGATAAAACATTGTCAAAGATAAAAATATCCAGGCTTACTTATTTATACACATTATTTTGAATTCGACAGTATCTACAATGAGAGTAAATTTTATATTTAGTTGAAATAATAGTAAAAGAACAGCCAACTGATCCTACTGACCCGTTGACACACTGAAATAAAAGTTAAGCACTTAATAAATACGATTGCCAATAAAAGTCTAAACGTAAACCAAAAAAATGTATGTTAATGAACTTAGCCGTATATGGGTAGAGAAGGCAGACATTAAACTTGTAAAATGAAACAAGTCTAGGATCTAAAAGCAAGTGTATCAAGAACTGAACAATACTTTGTAAGGATTTATGTACAATCATACTATTTGTGGCAACTGAAGTTTTCTAATTTTTTAACTACCGCAGATGGTCAAAATGATGGTGACAGTGGTCTTCGTGTTCACTATAAGCTGGTTACCGCTCAATGTTTTTATTGTAAGTGCACTAATCTTAATTTTTTTTATTATATTTCGTCACTGTCTTAGTATGCTTTAAATTATTCAGATTATAGTAATAATATAGTGATTCGTTTAATTATTTCAGACGTTCTTGTCACTTGAAACCCCTGCGTGAACCATCTCGGGCACCATGAACACTTTTTTTCTTTTCTTTTCTTTTTAAAAGACAACTCCCGCAATATATCTTGTGTCGCGGGGACTTTACAAACGTACATGAAATGGACACAAAGAACACCCATATTTAGAACATCAATTTGTGGATCACACAAAGTGTCGTCCTATGTGGGGATCGAACTCACAACACTCAGCGTAGTAGTAAGCGGCGTGGCGACCGCTTAAACCCCTACGCCATCACTTGGAATATTGTATCTTTGTATTGTATATCACAATTACACTTGGACCCCCTTGGTGATCTATAGATACAATGTGATGTAAATTACTATCGCAGTTTTTAAATTAATATGTGACATAATATTTATCACACTGTCATTTAATCATAAATGCATAATGATTATCTAATGTGCATAATCAAAGTGTGCATTCATAAAGTGAATGCATCTTATTTCTGTTTGAAATGGATGAGAATATTGAAATTATTGTCCTTCAGTGTACAATCTATAGGGTTTAAAGAGGATTACAAATTTTATAAATATTCTCGAACTTCCTGGTACGGGTCCAAGTGTAATAGTGAGTGTCCATGGTTCAAGTGGAAGAACGATTTCACCTCAGTCAGATATATTATTACAAATGGCTTATCTGAAATAATTCAAAATTTAGAATGTATTTAAGCATATTTATAAATTGTACATATCTCCATATTTTTACTACGTCTGAACCAGTACCTACTGCCATAGTCAGGAATAATGTTCCCTTTGAAAGTGCTTTAACTTACGAAACTCGTAATAATAGTGTAAAACAATGAGAATAGAATGATTGTCCTTACAGTCGTGTCAAACTAGACTATTTAGAGTTGCAACTAATATGACATGAATATGAATATCCATTCAACACAATTTTCAAATAGTTTGTTTAATTTATTTCTCCTCTATATATAGAAATAGGTGTCAGATAAATGACTTGAAATTGCGATGATATTTATGGTCAAATTTCATCAACAACTCGAACACTTTACAATTTTTTATATTGTAGTTAACCTAAAGCTGTATTTTCATAATTTGGCTTAATATTTAAGAGTAAATATCTCCAAAAATAATTTCTTCTTCATAAATGCGACTCATGTTTTTTTCGGCAAACAATGTATTTTTTTTTAATTTCCTTTGTCGAAGTTATTTATATATTTATACACGTAATATATTAAATCTATGTTCTGCTGTGAGGTTTATATCTTAGCGATAAAATAATTAAATAATTTTCTTTAAGACCCTAAGTTAAGTAGTAGTTAGTTAGCTAGTAAGTTAAATCTTAAAGAAAATTATTAAGTGTTAATTTAAGTTATAATGAATTTTAAGTTAAATAGGTAGTCGTTAGCAGCGGCTTCTCTTTATGGGTCGGTAATTTCTTAAGTTTAAATATTTTTGATGAACTTAAATTAGGTGGATAGCTTACTGAAGTAATTCAAAACCGTACGAAGTGCCGACGTTTAGAGTTTGCTCGACAGGATGTCTGTACTTTAACATTTCCAGGATGAAATATCGTTTTTCTTTATGATTTCTATATGTTTTTACCTGTTTTTTTCTCGAATGTAATAGTGTAAAGTACAGTATAAGCATATTTAATAAATAAATCTATGAATATCATTTTACTCGCTAACAAAATTGTTTTGGCATTCCTTGAAGTCCATTCGTTCTACTGAAAGCAATTTAGCGCACTCGCCCTGACATTTTGTAAAAATCCAATTCGTTGGCTATAATACTTTTCTCTGTTATTGGAAAGGTGGATTTTTAATTTTTCATATCCTATTACTAAATTGATTTTTTCATCGATATTTCCATCGTAATTAACGTTATCGGCTTACCAAGGGTCTGTCATGCCCAATTTTCACAATTTAAACATTAAATGGCTTATACGATGCTTAGCATTTGGTGTTATTTACCACACCAGTGATATTTTACATAGTCAGAATATTCGACCTCATTTGATTTGGAGTCTGTCCGGCTACAGTTAATGCGTTTGAAACTAGTTTTTGTATACATTTATATGTTTAGCGATTGCAGTACTGGTTTCTGTGTACAACATGAATGTAGTATTTACAAGTAAATAGCGAGCAGTTTAATTAAGTCCCAGTATATCTGATGCGTATAGTGTTGTGCCGTAAAAATGTAATACGCTGATACTATTCCAAAGATTTTTGGTGTCAAGACAGTCGGATACAGATTTTAACTTTTTACTCAGTCGGTGCTGGTGCGTGTGACCGAAAACGAAATTGAAACGATAGTTGACGCTACTTAACGCTTTTATCTGTTAATAATTATTATTAATACTGGTATAATAAATGTTTTAAATACTATATCATTATTTTAATAAGCTTATAACAAACATTTGTGATTGATCTCTTTTTAAAAATTTAATTAGTTACTTAATTTAGTACCTTTGAGTTACTATTGGTTAGTTAGTTAGTTACTATTAGTATGGTAACTCACTATGGTATATGTTTGCAATATATAACTGAAATTTTTTTAATTAAAATTAATAAAAAGTAATTTAAATGGAATTTAATAGTTTTTCTTTGCTACCTAATCACACATCTATAGAATTTTATCTATGTAATGAAAATTAATAAGGTAAAAGATTGGTAATAGACCTGTCCAAAAAAGTTACGGATCTTTCTTCTCCCTTGGATATTCGCGGATACGGATACGAATATCTGGCACATCACTATTACGTACCTTTTAACCTATATTACACATTCATTCATGCCAGTGTTTATAGTGTAATATTCTATTTATGTAGGTGGCATGGACGGTGAACGGTGACGACGTGGTATGGAGCTCTTGGCCTGGATGGCCTTACGTGTGGTTCGCGAGCCATTGGTTGGCAATGTCACACTCCTGCTACAATCCAATCATATACTCCTACATGAATACAAGATATAGACATGGATTTAAGAAGGTAATTCAAGTCAGTCAAGAGTCAGGAACTTAGTTTGTGTTATATTTGAATAACTCTTTGGAATAAAGACGTGTACTTGGTTCGTAAGTGGTGTGATGTTAATAGTTTCTAAGGATGCGAAAGCAGCACACTACGTCATTTTGTACTGTTGACTTGAACTTGCTACATATATTGCAATAAGTCACTTTAACTGTTCCACAATATTTATTTATTATTTATACACACATACGTGGCAAAGGTGCACTTAATGCCGTAGGCATTTTTACCAGTAGACTTTAGGGCGATGCAGAACCAAAACATGGCAGATGCATAAAGAACTAAAAATGAGGTTTCATGATAAATATAACATAATAAATATAAAATATTTATATGAGTATCCAGAGTATTTATACAGCATACAATAAATACGAATATTTTTTATATATACACACATAAATATATATATATATCTCATATAAATTCTGTTAAGGTGGATCTGATAGGGTGTTTAGAAAATGTTTCCGTAACAGGTATTTAAAATTTTGCCGAGTTTTTGACATCCTGATCTCGAGAGAGAACGCGTTCCATAACAGGATATATTGTACCAAGAAGGTAGGGGTAGGGTAGTATGACATTACAGCGGTGAGTGTGACATTGAAGAAGCAGGTTGTTTAAAGACACAAGGTTTTTAGTTTAGTTTGCACCTAATATTGTAGTTCAGCAGTTAAGTAGGAAGAAGAACTTGGAGAGAAGAGTAAAGAATGTGGGGCAGTTAATGCTCGTGTTTGTCTACGTTGGCAAATAGGAAGCCACTTCAAATGTCAAAATTTATGTCTTAAACATGGCAAAATCGCCTCACGGCATTTTTAAATTGTGTTATGAACAACTGATATTTAAAACGTTTAAAAATAGTTTTTTGTCAAATTTACTATTTATTGACTACTAGTTAATGACTTTAATAAATAATTTGCAGTTTTCTACTTACTTTGCACCAAACAATGGTGTGGGTACTTGTCTTATTTTTTTTCTTTCATCGTTTTAGGAGTTCTTTAGTCGATTTCTTAGCAAGTGAGCGTAACTATTTTGCACTTTTATACAACTTTTTCACGAACTTTTTCTTTTGGGTAAAAGTTATCTTGGTATGGTGAAAACAATTGTTCATAGAACTTATCGACGAAGACACCGACTGTTGACTGTTGACAAGTAGTGCCTTTAATCATCAGTGACCCATCTGTACTATCAAAAATCAGAGGTTATAAAAACTTACATAAGAAAACCTTTTGTAGTTTATGCAGGTTACTTTTATGTAGCTATTTGTTATTTATTACTGAAGAATAGAAAAATATAAGGACTATTTTTAACGCACGTTTTAGTACAAAAATCTTAATTTTAATTATCTTTGTAATCGTTTAATAAATGTAACTATTATATGCATCGAAGACTTACGTCCTTAAAATAAACAAATTGAAGATTTTAGTAACTAAAACAGATTAAGTTTCAGGACGCCTATTATTTAATTACGTATTGACATTTGGTTTAACCTCATTGCTATAGAACACACACATAGGTAATGAAACTGCTAATGGCTAATGTCTATCTGTGAAACTACTGGATGATAATTATTAGTTATTGGGTAACTGATGGTAACTGAAGAAGAAAGTTACTTCTTCACTTCAATTTGTTTTTTTTTATAAACATGGAGAAAAAATTTGCATGAATCTTAGAATTTATATTGGATTCTGACAATAAGACACAGTTGTTTATGTAAAAAGCAATGAAACAGCACTAAAGTTAATGTATTTACCTATAGGGACATTACGCTGACCCGGTAATACGAATACTTCTACAGAGTCGTGAGTATTCGCAAGGCATGAGTTGGGTCATAAACACATTTATAAGTGATGGCAATATGTATGTATGTGTGTATTTATGTAAGTATCTCCAGATGTTAATAACTTTGCAATCTGATTTGAATTGATGGTTCAACGTAATTCAGAGACTAGGGTCTTTTAGGGTGATTTTATTATTTCTCAGCCGTCTAAAGTTCGAGGAGAGGTGCTAATTGTGTAACTAAGAAAGTTAGGGGTTACGGAGAGATCAGAAATGTAGTTATTAGTAAACAGCTCATCAATTTTATCTAGAAGTTACAGGTGTACTTTCGGTGTTAATGTGTTTGTAAGATTTCATATAGAAAGTCATTTTCTATTACGTTATCATCGATAATACGACCGACATCGTCTATTTAATCCGTATATCATGCGTTCAGGTACCTACTTCACACTCCAGATTTGACATGCGATTTTTTACAATGTTGTTTAACATCGAAAAATTACATGTTACAGTCTGTCACATGACATCTTGTTGGCTGCTAGGAATGAAAAACAAAACCGGAAAAAACTGGTTTTAAGCCATTCTTTCGTTGCTTTTCACCGAGTGAGTGAGGTTACCGGACCCTTAACTCCCTCTCCCTTGGATTCAAGGGTAAAGTTCTTAAAGGGCGATAACGTAGTTGTGGTTTTGGAGTTGCAGATGTTCATGGTCGGCAGTAGATTCCATGAGCTGAGCCCGCCTGCTGGTTTCCTCCTTTTAAAAAAACGATTTGCAAGTCACATAATTAAGAAATATGCACTGCACGGATGGCTTTGTGGCTTAAGCGGTCGCCACGCCGTTTACTACTACGCTGAGTGTTGTGGGTTCGATCCCCACATGGGACGACACTTTGTGTGATCCACAAATTGTTGTTCTAAGTCTGGGTGTTCTTTGTGTCCGTTTCATATATATTTGTAAAGTCCCTCGCGACACAAGATATATTCCTAAAGAACAAGATATATTCCTGAAGAAAAAAACTTATGGCATACACACGATTGCAATCTGTGTCAATTCGTATACTAGTTTATAAACCATTGAGAACATTTATAGTTCCGTGCTTATACGTATTGTTATCATCACAATGATAAACCATGGTGTCATCATCAGTTTGTTCGATTCCTGGCCCGGGCAAAATTTTATAGGGTTTATCTGAGATAAGAAAGAAAATAAAAAAAATCTTTTTTTTTAAGTTTCACTTCTGCCGTGTGTAAACACACGCTTTTTTCAACTCTGTAGGTACATTTATATTCATTACAAGTCTATTCGCATTTGCGAGTGACGTGGTTCACGGCACATACTACTAGAAACCTCTTTTATCCCTATAAGTGAAAAGTTAATGTGCTTAGTGAATATATATCGGTAGTGTGTTAGTGCAAGCTGTGACTGATAATTGACACTTTGTTTGTATAGTAGTAAGTTAATTGGGTAAATGTTTAAAATATATTACTTCTTATGAAAATTAATGATATAAATTGTTCAATAGATGTTAAATTAACAAAAATATTCTCCTTATTTTATTATTAGCTTCACTCAAAGCATTTATTTTCAATTAATACATATATCATGTACGTATTTTGTATGGTAATCTTAGATCAAAATCGCAGGTTGAATTTCATATTTTGTGATGGACAGACCAATAATGTAAACATTTTAAACCAATACATCAAAGGTTTTGTTCATCTATTGCGTCATCCCACATATGTCATAATACCCCACTTGAGGGATAATGACAAAATTAATGGATATCTAAGCACATTCATTATTGAATTCAGATAAGTTGTTATCGATGCCAACACGACGATGTATAATACCAGTAAATATTAGGGGTGTATGAAAATGCCGATTTGTGCTGCAAAAGTGAAACTAGTTTTATTCTAAGATTTAACATATTAATTGGATCAAAATATTTACCCTCATTATCTGTACATTGCTACCATCAAAACGAAAGTTCATTTATGTCTTTACGACGAACGAGAACTCTAGAAATCTAGATTCGACAAAGTGTGTAAAAGTGATTTTTTTTCTAACGTAGAAAATTGTCCAAAACACGAAAAAAATGGTAGTCCGGTAGAGCAAGGTCTGTACAGAGTAGTACGAAGGATGACGTATGGTTTCTAACTGCATTTACTCTGCCAGTTTCGCTATCATTGTTCGAAGATCGGTACAGTAAACATCTGCTGTTATTGCCTGACCAAAACTGAGAAAGCTATAGTGAATAACACTATGAAGAGACCACCAAACAGTTACCATTGCCTTTTTATTGGTTAGCTTTGCTTTAGGGCACTGTTGCGGCATTTGACCCGGGGGTCAGCCATTGCATTTTTTGCTTACGGTTTTCGTAAACAATTTACTTTTCGTCACATTTCACAATTCGATCCAATATTGCTTCTGCCATTTCTTTCAGCAGATCAGTCAAATCATGAGGCACCTATTTTTTATATTTTTAATTTTATTAATGCAAATGAGTCAATTTTGTAGAGTAACGTTAAATCATGGCGCTAATTAATGGTTAATTGGACTCAGATCGGCTTCCACCATCTCCTTCAATTCACCTGTGTGGGCGGTCTTCCACGTGGTTCATTCTTCAAGTAGAAGTTTACATTACGGAAGCGAAACCAAAAGCGCACGGTGCTTTCATTAGCAGTCTTCTCTCTAAACGAAGTGTTGATATTGGGAGCCGTTTCTGCCGCGTTAGATCCGCGTCGGATCTCGTATTCAAAAATGGCTCGGATTTTCGAAGTAGCCATTTTTTACGCCTAAGCTGAATAAAAATACAGTTGAAAGTCGAAAATCGAATGTTGCACATTTTTTTAAAAGAAAAACCTCACAGGTATCATGTGAAAAAGTTTCACACGAAAATCTCATTCCATGAAGGTTTTATGTTAATTCAAAGTATCTATTACTATACAACAGCAATTTCATACAAATTTTTCATAATTATTTTGATGTAGACTCTAATTATAAAATCCCTATTATACAAGTTCAGGTTTTATTAATTATTTCAATGTAGACTCTAAATAAAATCCCTAGACAGCTACTGGCGTCAAATGTATCAAAAACGAAATCCTAATTTTAAAACTTAAATAACTTTCTCTACTTACTTTTTTACGTTAAATTCTGTACTCTTCGTTGTTAATTTAAAAATCACTGTCAGATGTTGTAAAATATTTAGCGAAAAAAAAACT